AGAACCACAATGTTTACATGTTATATAGGGTTAAACAACCAAACTTTAGCTCTTACGAATTATAATGTCAAGTCTATTTAACAAATCAAATTGTCACCTGTTAGCCCAAGGTGTCTAACTGGCATTTTTAAATGATTATTCCTACATTTTAATATTCTTAACACTGCATGCTTGTGCTTGATCATAGTTTAAAAACAAGTGTGAAGATTTATCAAAGTTTAAAAGAGATATGAATCCCATTTGAATATTCATCAAGAATTAAATGAAGATATCAAGCTTTGAAGAGAAGGTTGAGGCATGAAAAATGGAAGACCATACATACAAAGAGAAAGAGACATTTTGACTAGGAAGTATATAAACGAGACAGGATACAAATATGATACAACATAGACACGGAATACAACAAATTTTAAAAATTATAAGAAATCCATACATTAAAATGGTAATTTTATTCCATTTCACTCTCCCTTAAATATCCAAACTGACTGTAGGGTTTAAAGACATAACCATAATATTTATCAACTCAACTAACCATTTCACTCTATCATGTTTTGTTTTCTTTAGTGATTTTCCATTGATCTCCTTATGGGGAAAGGCTTGGTTCAATCCCCTTCTCAAGTCTTCTTTTATCAACTCAACTAACTACCATGCATACTGGAATAAATCCTACCCAATAAAAACAAATGACTTCCAAAATGAATCACATGATAAGTATTTAAACTACCAATATAATCCATTACAAAATATTATTGCAAAGATAATCTCGTCTAAACAAAAATTAATTCCCTAATGATGTTCCCGAAGTCACTGCCATCACACAGATCTTGTTGGGTCAATTTCAAAACTCAAATTTGCTCGATAATACAAAATTGGTATCCAAAAATTCTTTCTAAAGTATAAAGACTTGATACTAACATCATTGTTACTTCTTAGGCAAAGGGATAGGAAGTTACCGATTAATGTACATCCATAAAGATTGAATGCGGGGCTCATCCCAGAAGTAACCTAGAGAAACGGAATATTCCTTTTACATTAGTTAAAATAGCATTGCTCCATAGAATAACAAATGTTTAATGGTTTCATAACTTCTGTTAAAATACAGAAACAGACTTTAATTGTGTTTATTTCATATTTAAACTAGGTTAACTGAATAATCAAAACCAGTAGACCCCTTTGCATCATTCTATTATGATTGAGATTTCTGGTCAATATAATCTGGGCATTGTATATCAAGAACCATTTTCGTGCATAAAGTCTAATCTACTATTAAAATTATGAAGCTGCCACCATATAATGCTGAGCATTGCCGTGTGAATAATAGATGGAACACAATTTCATGAACTATTTGCATTGAAGAAATCACTAAGCTGAAATGAGACATATGAGAGAGTAAAACCTTTTTCCCTCGTGTTAGAGAAAGCCGGATGTGTGAATTGTCAAACATGCCATTCCTAATTAGAGTTATGAAAATTGCTTCCTTAATCTGCAGTTTTTGGAACAACATTCATTATGGTGATAGATTAAGCGACATATGCTAGATGAACTGAATGCATCTCAGACTCACCTCATCTCGAGTAGGAACATTTTCAAAAGCTAAAGCTTTTGCTGAATCAAACAACCTGATAAGAAGCAAGAAATGTAAGAGGACATTATGTCAACAACATTGATGAATAATAATCCCCAAGTTAGATTGAACAATGCTCAGTAGAAAAGCTTTGAGAAATTAAGCATATGTTCAATCAGATAATTCTTTTGTCTTTAGTTTAGTTTGCAGATTTTTTTTCCAAATTAAATATGAAAACCACAACACTACCCAGCCATTAATATCTCCAAAGCCCTCAAACTGATATTTCATTCTTTCTGGAAAAGATTGAGTGCTCAGTTCTGACAAACATGGATGAGCAACTGTGGTTTTTCAACACAGATTGATTTGGTGCAACATGCTTCTTCAGATGAAATAGAATCAGTCATTGAAAAATGCAACCAAGCATAATTTGTGTACCTTGAGCAATGATTTATTAGATGTGTGCTTAATGAGAAGATATGAAAGACTCATAGGAGTATAAAGAAAAATAATTATTATCACAACGTTAAATGGCAAGGGTTCTCTATGGGAAAATAGAAGTAAATTCTGCAGACATCTCACATATTGCATGTCTAAAATGAATGTTTTAAAGACTATGAGATTACATATGCAGATGAAGAAGAAATACGAGGAAGTTTGTCTGTATTGATTGCTGAAAATCCAAAACAATGTGATATTTCAAATTTCAAAAGCTGCCAAAAATCTGTGATACTTGTAACTTATTGCAGTTCATGATTTACTTATACTCATTTAATTTAATTCATTAATAATTCAATTTATGTGTTTTAATAAATTAGCTACAACAATATTGGAATAAAATGACAGCATTTTACATATACCATTCAATTTCTCAGTTTTGTGACATCACCTGTCTAGATGCTCCTCAAGCTTAAATATCTGTCCATTGTACACTCGAAGTCCCTCCCAAACCGAGTCACCTCCTTGGACAACTGAATCAAACACAGAAACCTGATAGATCACAGGATAATCTCAAACCATGAGAATCTGTGCATCAATCACATAAATCAGAAGCTTTCTTATATCAACAGCATACAGCAGACCTTTTAAGTGTCATACAACTAAGTACCTTTGCACTATCACGTGGCATAATCTCATCACCAACCCAAGCAAGCAATTTCTCATTTGCAGGAACAGGAAGATCGGGAGTAGGTGGAGGAGGTCTCAGAAGAGATGACTTTTTCTTCACATGGCGCCGAAGCATATTATACAGGGGTAGACTTTGCTCCAACAAATCATAGAAAGAAAAGGGAAATGGCTGAAAAGAAGACAAGATTACAGCAATAACCAGAGTCAGGTTTTTTGTCATCTATGCGACTATGCCGGTGAAGTTACCTTCCCCACTCCACTTGGTGAAAAAGAAAAAAAAAAACTCGTTTTCTTCATTACCATATCCTTAAATTTTTTATGTGAAAAGCAAACATAAGATAAATATGGGTTCACAATAAAGACCCAATTTTGCATCCAATTACTATTAGATCAAACACAAATTGTAATAGACAATGGAGCAAACAATGTCAAAATACTATAATAACCCAAACAAAACAGCCTGGATTCTCCACAATAGAAACTAAATAGGAAGCATACCATGATAAAAACAACCACATACCTGGGGATACTTTCTTGGTTTCTCAAAACCAGTAGACTTATGTACAGATTTATACCACCAAGGTGCCCACAAGCCATCTATTGGCCTTGGACCTGCTTCCCACCTGGAAAGTTTTTGAATTGTCAACTCATTATGTATGTTAGCAAAGTAATTGTTGCAGGAGAAGAATAATAGGAATATTCTTGAATTGTATGTATGCCAAATAGTAACTTAATGAATGGCTTAACAAAAGTTTCCAATTACCAAATGATTCAAGAATCACCAAAACTTAGATGAACGTAAATTGAAAAGAGTTCATTGAAAGAGTAGCACAAGGTCTGCATTTGCAAGATCAAAAAATTTGAATGAAAACAGAATATTAAATCACTATTATTAATAGCATATTGGAGCAGTAAAGAAAGAAAGACAAATTTTAACCATACACAGATCATCCATCTACAAGCATTTTGTTTTTTCACTTAGCTTTAATTATAAACTCATTTTTGTTCCCCACCCTTCCTATGTTTTTAATTGGGGTGGGGAATTTCAACTTTGTATAGGGAAAAGAATCTGCATACTTGAGCATTGCAGGTTCAAAAGGAATCTCCAAATCATCACAGAGACCACGAAGAGTAGCCTGCAAATCAACAAAATCATGATCTTGATAAGATAATTAAAAAATATATATACTTGAAGTGTTATTTTAAGTTAGTTTGTCAATATTATCATCTAGACCTCAATATTTACATATTGACAATAATATTCATGAAGACAGTAATGACAACAACTATGGTGGTGGGTTGTTGGTGTCAGCCACGAAGTTGTGGGCCTTGTGGCAAATGGAAGCAATGTAGTGGTGGTGATAGTGGACCTGTGGATGCAACAACTAGTAGTGATTATGATAATAATGATCTGAAGATGATTGTGTGGATGAGGTGGTAGAGGAATTTTTTTTATTTCAAGTAAATGCAAGGGGAAATAGTAATTCCAGTAATTACAGATGTAATGGAGTTATGATTCCCGTTTTGAAGGGAATGGCCATTCCTTTTGTGTAGTGACTGCCAAACAAACTCTCAGCTAATTCTATCTCATCCTATTCCAACTAAACAAAAGTGATCTTATATTTATGGTTTGTTCACTGATAAAAATCAAGCATTTCCAGAAAGCATCAGTGTTTATGGTTTTTTCACTGATAAGAATCAAGCATTTCCAGAAAGCATCAATATTTATGGTTTGTTCACTGATAAGAATCAAGCATTTCCAGAAAGCTCAGATACCTCAGGATCTTGTTGAAGTTCTGCAGCATCAATAACAGGTGGTGACTTTCCAATCTCTCGAAGCTCATTGTATATACAAACCAGCTCTGCCAAACCCAATTCATAGAAAGATGGAGGGACAACCTTGTCAAAGGATGGCTGGACATGCACAATTCGGTAGAGCAGACAAGAATGATCAGGAAGTAAGCAGAGAAATAGATAACCACCAAATATCGCAAAAATTAACGAAATATTTGCAGAACCTTATACGCATTACTATAACATGAAGCTATAGGCTTTTTCACAAACCAACATTTTTGACGTAGATAGATGATAGATCTGCATGCTTTGGACCCAATACTACATGTACATATGAGGAATAACATGCTGAACTGGCTTGTTGATATAGTGACAAATAAGTAGTAATTGAAAGACATTTTACCAATATATCAAGAGGATTTCTTATCAGAATGAAGTGCTTTCCTTTCTTCATTAGATCGTCAGTCAAACCTTGTAACCGTTGCTTTGACATATGCTGTAAAAAGCAAAGTAGTGATAAATAATGAAGTTAGAAGAAAACAAACTTGGTTTTGATAACACATTGTAAACGCTCAAGATACACTAATTAGGATTTTTTTTTCTGGAACAGTACACTTGGTTCCCTTTTCTCTCCTCATGGGGACCCCCCTGTGGCGGGACCTTTCCTAGAGCAAAAAATTCCTAGCCACCTAAACTACTAGAACTGTTTCGACAAAATGGCATAAGATGTTGATTTTTGTGACAATTGAAGCCCCTCATTCAGTTTGTTTGACTAATAGCAGATCTACTGCATCAAAAAATTAGCATGGAAAAAAAGGAATATAAACTTTTTTCACCTCTATAAAAGTCAATGGTATAATATCTCATGTCATTGAAGTAAACAGTCAAATTTTCCTCTGTAAATGCATTTTTGTGAGAAGATGTACATCTCAAAAGAGATATTCTTTACCTTACAGAATCTATATTTTTTCTTTCCTGGACCAAAAATAATGTCATTAGTGACCTTATTCCCATCAGATTCCTGTTACATTTCAAACACCAACATTTTTCAACACGAAGCATAGGAAGAGGATATACTACAAGAGAGAAGGAAAAAGGAATGATTATAATAAATGATAACCAAGGAAGCAGTGCAAATAAATTTGAGAGTTCAATGTGTAGAACTTTCGAAAGACAGAATCTTCAGAATTCTCTATTAAAAGAAGGGACCAGCCAGATTATAAAAGCAATTACAGTTTTTTAAGAAAATAACTAAATACTAAATCGTGCAGGCTTATTTAATTCAATTTAACACATTATGAAACAGAACAAACTTCACCCAGGGTTTTTTTTCTCTTTTATATAAGAAAGAATACAGTATAACTGAACTGAATAGAAGACAAATGTCAATGCTAATATGCTTTCACTGTAGATCAGAGAGGCTTATATTTTTCAGAATTCACTCATTCTATAATATCTACCACATCCCCCACATTTAACAAAAATTTATTTTCCGCACCAAAAAAAACAATAAAGAAAGTTTATCAGCACAATAGCTAATCATTTTAAACAAACCAGGATGCAAGAACAGTGATAGAGTTAAAATAGATAAGCTAAAGTAGCAACAAATAACAATGCCGTAATCATGGCACAATCAAATCAGCCTAGACCTTAGCATCAAATACATGAAGATTAGAGCAGAGGTAATTTTGTGACAGAGATACCATTTTGGAGAGTAGCTCCTCCCTGTAGGGTCTATCAAGACCTGTTACTCTAAGGAAATTTGCATAGAGAGGCTCATCAAGCACTTCTATGTCATCCCTCTGCGTGGCACAAATGAAACAAGGACAAACATGGCAACACCCTTATCAGAAACCGGATTCACGGGTAATAAAGCTCAATTTCAAGTAATTAATCGAATCATCACTCCATGAGCAAAAGAAAAGATAATCATTTGTTGACCAGACTAACAAACAATTTTTGTTTCAATCAGAAGGCATTACAATGACGTCAACAGAATTCAAGCATGCCACCACCGCTAGGTTCACCCAAGTGGTAGACTAACAAAAACTCTTGAAATAGTAATGTTATATACTCCAATTAATTAATCTTGGTACAAAGTATGTGAAAAGGTGAAATAATAATGCAATATGGAGAAGACAATGGGAGAAGCACCTGAGCAAAAGAATACATGAGACTAGTACTGAGGGATCTCGGAGCAGACCATGAGTGAATCACCTCCACTTCACTTTCCGCCATCTCTGAGTTCAACACACTAAGCTAAGCTTTTTCTTTTTTCTGATTCAATTTGATTAGAATATTATCAATAATAGTCGATTGGATTGCCACTTTTCTTTGTGAGAATCCCAATAAAACAGAATATGAAAAGATGGGTCCAAGTCTCTACACAGGAAGTCAGGAACCAACAAATTCCGAGGAATCACAAAATTAAAACAACTTTCTTAAAATTGTTCCACTTTTCTATTAAACATGTTTTTAGTTAAATATATTTCTGATTTTGGTTTTTATAATTTTTTTAAATTTGTAAATATTATTTTACTTTTTATAATAAAAAAATTTTGATTTTTATCTTTTGTAAAATATTTTTTATTTTCATTCTTATAATCATATAAATCAAATAACAAGTTCAAAGTTAAGTATGTTTGACTTAAGCAATTTAAGGATAGGTGACATTTAAAAAAGTTTTTCAAAAAGTGTAAGAGCGAGAACAAAACACGTTAAAAAATATTGTGTTGATTTGCAGAGATAGTTGTTGATCCTAAAGATAGTTGGATATCTCAAAAAGGACTATATTTATGAAGAGTTTTAACCAACAAAAAGTTGTATAAAATACAACTCTTAGGTGTATAAAAATATTGTGTTGATTTATGGAGATAATATCCTAAAGATAGTTGAATATCTCAAAAAGGATTATTCGTAAAAAGTTTTGATCTATGAAGGGTTTTGACCAACAAAAAATTGTATAAAATATTCTTAGGTGTGTGAAGTGTCTAAAAGTCGAGTTGTTGATATATTAAATTTGAAAGGTATTATGAAATGTATAAATATTATTTTGTTACAAATTTTAAGGTATATATAATAACACTTATTTTAAGAATTTATGAATTTTTTTTTAGAATTTTGCACATACATAAAATATTATATACAACTATGGGTACCATTTAAAATTTGTCACTAACCTTTTAATGAATATATAAATATTTAAAAAATGGTCACATAATGTAGAGAGTAAAAAAAATAGTTTCAAAATTTAAAAGTGCAAAAAAATTTATAAAGATCAAATCAAAATAAATTTATTTTTCGTAGACTAAAAACATATTTAAATTTATATATATATATATATATATATATATATATATATATATATATATTCTTATAATTTTATATTTGTTGTGACA